AATTCATGACTCGAGTCTGACTCGAGTCCAAGTCACATGACTCGAGTCCACACCTCAGAGGTGGGACAAAGTCATTGTTATGCAAGTCCAAGTCGAGTCTGAAGTCATCAAATTCATGACTCGAGTCTGACTCGAGTCCAAGTCACATGACTCGAGTCCACACCTCAGAGGTGGGACAAAGTCATTGTTATGCAAGTCCAAGTCGAGTCTGAAGTCATCAAATTCATGACTCGAGTCTGACTCGAGTCCAAGTCACATGACTCGAGTCCACACCTCAGAGGTGGGACAAAGTCATTGTTATGCAAGTCCAAGTCGAGTCTGAAGTCATCAAATTCATGACTCGAGTCTGACTCGAGTCCAAGTCACATGACTCGAGTCCACACCTCAGAGGTGGGACAAAGTCATTGTTATGCAAGTCCAAGTCGAGTCTGAAGTCATCAAATTCATGACTCGAGTCTGACTCGAGTCCAAGTCACATGACTCGAGTCCACACCTCAGAGGTGGGACAAAGTCATTGTTATGCAAGTCCAAGTCGAGTCTGAAGTCATCAAATTCATGACTCGAGTCTGACTCGAGTCCAAGTCACATGACTCGAGTCCACACCTCAGAGGTGGGACAAAGTCATTGTTATGCAAGTCCAAGTCGAGTCTGAAGTCATCAAATTCATGACTCGAGTCTGACTCGAGTCCAAGTCACATGACTCGAGTCCACACCTCAGAGGTGGGACAAAGTCATTGTTATGCAAGTCCAAGTCGAGTCTGAAGTCATCAAATTCATGACTCGAGTCTGACTCGAGTCCAAGTCACATGACTCGAGTCCACACCTCAGAGGTGGGACAAAGTCATTGTTATGCAAGTCCAAGTCGAGTCTGAAGTCATCAAATTCATGACTCGAGTCTGACTCGAGTCCAAGTCACATGACTCGAGTCCACACCTCAGAGGTGGGACAAAGTCATTGTTATGCAAGTCCAAGTCGAGTCTGAAGTCATCAAATTCATGACTCGAGTCTGACTCGAGTCCAAGTCACATGACTCGAGTCCACACCTCAGAGGTGGGACAAAGTCATTGTTATGCAAGTCCAAGTCGAGTCTGAAGTCATCAAATTCATGACTCGAGTCTGACTCGAGTCCAAGTCACATGACTCGAGTCCACACCTCAGAGGTGGGACAAAGTCATTGTTATGCAAGTCCAAGTCGAGTCTGAAGTCATCAAATTCATGACTCGAGTCTGACTCGAGTCCAAGTCACATGACTCGAGTCCACACCTCAGAGGTGGGACAAAGTCATTGTTATGCAAGTCCAAGTCGAGTCTGAAGTCATCAAATTCATGACTCGAGTCTGACTCGAGTCCAAGTCACATGACTCGAGTCCACACCTCAGAGGTGGGACAAAGTCATTGTTATGCAAGTCCAAGTCGAGTCTGAAGTCATCAAATTCATGACTCGAGTCTGACTCGAGTCCAAGTCACATGACTCGAGTCCACACCTCAGAGGTGGGACAAAGTCATTGTTATGCAAGTCCAAGTCGAGTCTGAAGTCATCAAATTCATGACTCGAGTCTGACTCGAGTCCAAGTCACATGACTCGAGTCCACACCTCAGAGGTGGGACAAAGTCATTGTTATGCAAGTCCAAGTCGAGTCTGAAGTCATCAAATTCATGACTCGAGTCTGACTCGAGTCCAAGTCACATGACTCGAGTCCACACCTCAGAGGTGGGACAAAGTCATTGTTATGCAAGTCCAAGTCGAGTCTGAAGTCATCAAATTCATGACTCGAGTCTGACTCGAGTCCAAGTCACATGACTCGAGTCCACACCTCAGAGGTGGGACAAAGTCATTCTTATGCAAGTCCAAGTCGAGTCTGAAGTCATCAAATTCATGACTCGAGTCTGACTCGAGTCCAAGTCACATGACTCGAGTCCACACCTCAGAGGTGGGACAAAGTCATTGTTATGCAAGTCCAAGTCGAGTCTGAAGTCATCAAATTCATGACTCGAGTCTGACTCGAGTCCAAGTCACATGACTCGAGTCCACACCTCAGAGGTGGGACAAAGTCATTGTTATGCAAGTCCAAGTCGAGTCTGAAGTCATCAAATTCATGACTCGAGTCTGACTCGAGTCCAAGTCACATGACTCGAGTCCACACCTCAGAGGTGGGACAAAGTCATTGTTATGCAAGTCCAAGTCGAGTCTGAAGTCATCAAATTCATGACTCGAGTCTGACTCGAGTCCAAGTCACATGACTCGAGTCCACACCTCAGAGGTGGGACAAAGTCATTGTTATGCAAGTCCAAGTCGAGTCTGAAGTCATCAAATTCATGACTCGAGTCTGACTCGAGTCCAAGTCACATGACTCGAGTCCACACCTCAGAGGTGGGACAAAGTCATTGTTATGCAAGTCCAAGTCGAGTCTGAAGTCATCAAATTCATGACTCGAGTCTGACTCGAGTCCAAGTCACATGACTCGAGTCCACACCTCAGAGGTGGGACAAAGTCATTGTTATGCAAGTCCAAGTCGAGTCTGAAGTCATCAAATTCATGACTCGAGTCTGACTCGAGTCCAAGTCACATGACTCGAGTCCACACCTCAGAGGTGGGACAAAGTCATTGTTATGCAAGTCCAAGTCGAGTCTGAAGTCATCAAATTCATGACTCGAGTCTGACTCGAGTCCAAGTCACATGACTCGAGTCCACACCTCAGAGGTGGGACAAAGTCATTGTTATGCAAGTCCAAGTCGAGTCTGAAGTCATCAAATTCATGACTCGAGTCTGACTCGAGTCCAAGTCACATGACTCGAGTCCACACCTCAGAGGTGGGACAAAGTCATTGTTATGCAAGTCCAAGTCGAGTCTGAAGTCATCAAATTCATGACTCGAGTCTGACTCGAGTCCAAGTCACATGACTCGAGTCCACACCTCAGAGGTGGGACAAAGTCATTGTTATGCAAGTCCAAGTCGAGTCTGAAGTCATCAAATTCATGACTCGAGTCTGACTCGAGTCCAAGTCACATGACTCGAGTCCACACCTCAGAGGTGGGACAAAGTCATTGTTATGCAAGTCCAAGTCGAGTCTGAAGTCATCAAATTCATGACTCGAGTCTGACTCGAGTCCAAGTCACATGACTCGAGTCCACACCTCAGAGGTGGGACAAAGTCATTGTTATGCAAGTCCAAGTCGAGTCTGAAGTCATCAAATTCATGACTCGAGTCTGACTCGAGTCCAAGTCACATGACTCGAGTCCACACCTCAGAGGTGGGACAAAGTCATTGTTATGCAAGTCCAAGTCGAGTCTGAAGTCATCAAATTCATGACTCGAGTCTGACTCGAGTCCAAGTCACATGACTCGAGTCCACACCTCAGAGGTGGGACAAAGTCATTGTTATGCAAGTCCAAGTCGAGTCTGAAGTCATCAAATTCATGACTCGAGTCTGACTCGAGTCCAAGTCACATGACTCGAGTCCACACCTCTGGGGGAGGAGGCCCTTTTCTTCAGTAGTTGCCCCCCCCCCCCTACCTGTGCCACCTGGGAGCTTCTGATGATGAGGTTGCTCGGCTGTTTTGCAGCAGGCCACCCGCCCTTAATGGGGAGCTTGCATCTCGCTGTGGTAGGGGCCCTTTGGGTTGCTCCAATTGAGAGGTGTCCTGAAATAAATAACAATCCACGAAATCTCATTGTCCAGAAATGAGGGTTTTGTTCAGAGTAGAGAGATTAAGTGGAGTGAGTGAATTATGAAGTTCATTGTGTGGCCATCTGTGGGGGGGGGTGGGGGTAGGGGGGTTATAAAGCAACAGCTGTCAACGTTTATTGGAATCTGTTCCAATTAAGCCATCTTGGGATATAGAAAATAATTTTAGATTCAAGTGATCACGTTTTTCCAGGACATCCCTCAATTTAGCTTCCTTGGAACACACATTAAGTTGTCACAAGCTGCACACGCCTGATTATTGCTCATCACGTATCTTGAAATGTAGAGAGTGCAGGGGAAAATCTATAGAGATTATGTGCATATATTTGTGTGTGTGTGTGTGTCCCCACGTGGGGGAGTGGTGGCGCAGTGGTTAGCGCGCTGCACTACATATCCGGCGACCTGAGTTCCATTCCCGCTCACCTCCCAACACCAGTGACGATTATCTGAACTGGTCCTGGGCCTCCCCGAGGTCGACTCAGCCTCAAATGAGTACCTGATGCGGTGTGTAACCATCGCCGCTAGGGACACAAAGGCGGCCGGGCGTGGTGCTGGCCACCCACCCCCTCGTGTGTTCTACCGGCCTTAATAGGTGCTCGCTAACAGCACTTACCCCAGCAGTCTGTTGAGGGTGATAATTGTCCTGCCCCACGTAACGTTGAGAGCACCAATTCAAGTATAGTAGTAGGTTTTTACCCTTTCAACTGGCACAAAAACTGACACCTTTATACAAGGCATCATGTTTGCAATAACCACAACACAAGCAGTCAAAATGCAAACAAAAAGAAACAACTCTGATAATGATATGCACTGTCCTTGAAGTTGATTGGTCCACACCCGAGACAGCTTTTCTTAGAGCCTAGTCTCCATTGGTGTTGGACCAGATGACGCCAAAAGGTGTACAACACCAATTCAAATGAATGAATACTCTTCAGCATCATATGGGAGATGTTGAGTAATCATCAGGCACGTGAAGTGTAGAATTACTTTTTATTGTGCACATCGTCTGAGCACAGACCCAAAGGTCCAACAGGTCAAGTGCCAGCAACAAACTGCACTATCAAACTTGCAATAGATAAGAGTTAACATCTCTCTGGAATCGTGCAAGGTGATAAGAGCTTGGGAGAAGAGATGATGGGAAGTTGTAAAGCAGTAAACGTTTAGTGGCGTACCATGACGGGTTACAAGGAATGGGTGTATGGGAATCACTGCCAATCATCGTGATCGTTTGATTGTGGACCGTGTGGGTCCGCTACGCTCGAGGCAGCTGAGCCGTGGCTCTAACGAGCGTCCGCTGTGTGTGCCGGTGCGTGCAGGGACAGGCGTGAGGACATCTGCTGCTTCCTGGTGTGTCGGGCAAGAGCAGAGGCCCTCCTTCATGGCTGAGGTGTGTGCTGCACGCACATGAGTGCCGAGTTCAACTACGACGAGCGACGCTTTTGTTGAATCTGAGTGTAGGGATGAGCTGGCTGTGCGGTGGGGTTGGCGAGAGCGAGCAGCATAGAATTGTAATGTATGACTTACTCTTGTTGGTTCTTTCGGTAAAGTCACGTAGAATGAAAATGATAAAATAATAAAAATAAAACATAAAATAATTCTCACGACGTTTCGGCCACAACGCAAGCAGCCATCCTCAGGTGGAGAACAGGTCTGTCGAGAAGACAGAGTCTGAATGACACACCTCTGTCTTCTCGACAGACCTGTTCTCCACCTGAGGACGGCTGCTTGCGTTGTGGCCGAAACGTCGTGAGAATTGTATTTGATAATGTTTTATTTTTATTATTTTATTATTTCCATTCTACGTGACTTTACCGAAAGAACCAAGAAGATGAATCCCTGCAGTCACGAAAGCTTTAAATCGAAGTATGACTTACTGTTAGTAGCTCAGCTTATTGGAGAGTATATTGAGTATATTGATGATATTGATGTAGTTTATATTTTAAGTTTTTTTACGTGGTGGTTTGGCTGCTGCAGCTCCTTACTATTAAAATTCCTTCCCATTATTACTGCTAATCCTACATAATACACGAGTATAATATGACTTTGAGATCCCCCCCTTCACCTACACATCCACATGTAGTGACTTATCGCATATCTGCATTTTCCATAAATATGTTAAATTCATGTGGATATGCAAATTCCTTTGTCAAGGCTCCCTCCTCCTCTAACCCAGCTTAAATATACGCTGCCAAGCTTGGTGGTGTTCATTCAGACGCTGTCTTTTCGACAGCTCTGTTCTTCACCTGAGGACGGCTGCTTGCGTTGTGGCCGAAACGTCGTGAGAATTGTATTTTATTATGTTTTATTTATATTATTTTATTACTTCCCTTCTATGTGACTTTACCGAAAGAACCAAGAAGATGAGATGACAACAGTTGTTTGTTTCATCACGGTTTGCTGAACGAAGGCCCTAAGCCCAACGGCAACAAGCGGGCCAGCAACAAACGGCACGGTAAAATTTGTAAGAGATTAGGTAATACGGTTCTTGAGTTGAGCATGGATACGACTCTCTAAAAGAGACGATGGGAGGGAATGAAAAAGTTGAACGGTGCGTGAGAAGAACCAAACAGAGCTGGGTTTTTACCTGCAGTCACAAAGCCCCAGAGAAATGGTTGTTGGTAAGCATGGTGGTCAGCGGGGTGTGTTGGCAAGCATGGTGGTGAGATGAGATGTGTTGGTAAGCATGGTGGTGAGCTTGGATGCATAGTGGTGTTTTGGCCAGTGTGATGGTGAACAGACTGCATAGTGGTGGTGATAATTGGAAGCTGGATGCTAGAAAACAGCGAGACATTATATAGTTAAAATACCAGCCAGTAAACAAACATTGAAAATTATATAGATTTACAAGCCTTTAAATGTGACCGCATCTCTAAACACTGCACATTTCAACATTTTCCAAAACATTTAACAACTTAGACTCGTTTTTAAGTAATAAAACTTATCAAAAAATAACTAATGTGCGCAAACAGGAAAATTACTTTTCACCATTATAAATGTATGCCTCAGTGATTGGATAAACTGTCTGAATACATGATCATGAATCCATTAAAATTACTTTATATATTTTTTTATTATTTTTACTCTCCCATGTGTACTCATTTTCCTTGCTCTGTCTTAATTTAATTGATTAGTCACTGCAAATTAAAAAAGTGCAAGCTTGTTTTTGAATTTTTTATTTAAAGGTGTTTTTCAATCATGTAACTCGAGTCACCACATACATTGGCGGTCTTTAAACGTAGAACTTTCATAGTGAGTCATCTACCATTTATCTACTCAGATTAGGGTCAAGATGTTATTATGACCAAAGTCAGTCAAATAAGCATGAATAATCCCGTGGTCATAGATCGCTATTTGTGATACATCAGCGACAACAAGAATAGCTATTAACAGCGGTGGCTACCACCGTGTTGTGGTTCCATGACACAACAGACCTGTATAGTCTCGAGAGGTGAAGGATGACGACGTGAAGTGTGGCTATCGCGATGCCGAAAGCGCCAACGGGCGGCAGAGGTCGCAACCGGGTACCCGATACCCGTACCCTACCCGATACCCGGCTACCCGTACCCGGCCAGGTACGGGTACCCGTTTGCGACCCTGGTGCGGCTGGGTACGGGTACGGGTAGGCCGTGAGTCACTGGTGAGTAACCGTTTTAAAGCTTTTGTGACTGCAGGGATTCATTTTCTTGGTTCTTTCGGTAAAGTCACGTAGAATGGAAATAATAAAATAATACAAACTAAACATAGAATTTTTTATTATTTTATTATTTCCATTCTACGTGACTTTACCGAAAGAACCAAGAAGATGAATCGCTGCAGTCACGAAGAATGGAAATAATAAAATAAAAAAAATAAAACATAATAATTTTTTTTTATTTCCATTCTACGTGACTTTACCGAAAGAACCAAGAAGAATAACCGTTTGTTACTCATTTCGGGTAGGGTACGGGTACCCGTTTGCGACCCTGGTGCGGCCGGGTACGGGTAAGGAATCAAAACCCGTTTGCGACCTCTGACGTGCGGCTCATGCCACCCCCCCCTCTCTTGCTACTTGTGCCGTGCCACAGAGCTGTGAGCAAAGGCGACGACACGGGCATCCTGTTACCACCGCGGGCACCACCACGATGCCTGCAGCGGAGAACGCCACTCCACCTCCTCCCTCTGGATACTGCTCCGGATTCCCCAGTGAGTGATGTCTCATATCATGCGCATTACTTTTATTTTTGCGATAATGCTTGCTCACCGGGAAGAGCATCCATTGAGTCTCAAGGCTCTTATTCAGGGAGGGTCCTTCTAAGTTTTTTCAGGGCTTTACTGGTTTCCCCAATAAAGTAATTTGCAAATATATTTTCAGAAATGGGTCGTGGCTCCGGCACACAATGGCCGACTTTTTTTTTCTTCATGACATCACGGGAACTCTCCCTTGAATGTCATCACGTGTTCTTGAACATACTGTTAGGTTTTTTCGGTAAAGTCACGTGGGTAAAAAAAAAAATTAATAAAAGTAATAATAGAAATAAAATAATAAATCACGACGTTTCGGAGGCAACACAAGTCTCCGTCATCAGGTGGGACCGTCACAGCTAGATTTGCTGTATCAAGTGAGGCAAAACATTTCAAGATACAAGTTCTTAAATACAAGTTAAGGGGGGGGGAGGAGGGGGGGAGGAGCTTATCTGAGTGTGGTAGTGTGCCTGCGAAACGTCGTGATTTATTATTTTATTTTATTTCTATTATTACTTTTATTATTTTTATTTTTTACCTACGTGACTTTAACGAAAAAAAACCTCAGAGTATGAATCCTTGCAGTCACGAAAGCTTCAAATCTAGTGTTCTTGAACGTCCGCTGTGAGGCAGAGGGCATGCGTTGTGGATTTGCGTCTGTCGGATTTGAACCCCATACCTCGACAAGAAGCGGCGAATGCATAGCTGCTGTGTCATGTGACCGCTCTTATGTTGTCAGAGTACGTGCATTAAATAGCATTTTGTTCAATTATTATGTTGTACATCATAGGTTCACATGACTCCTGCAACCGCCGTAGGCTGTTAAATACATCCACCACAATGTAGAAGAAAAGTAGTCGATTCTTTCATCGAATTGGAACTCTACACCCATGGCTGAGGGGATGAGGGTGGATTTGTACACCCCAATTGTGTGGTATGAGAACCACCAAAATGCCCTGAAAGCACTCGATCTCGGCAGATTTCGGAAGCTAAGCACGGTTGGTGTTTTGGTTAGTACTTGCTTGGTAGACTGCCTGGAATTACCAGAAGTTATAAGCGTGGGGCTTGCAAGTTGTCCAGGAGGTAGCAGCACAGCAATGGATTATTGAATCCATCTGTGCAGAGCGTCGAGTGACTCCCCTTGTAAGCGTGGCGTTTGTTTTCCTCCGGGTACGCCGGTGCCCTTCCGCACGAAGCCAAAACACTCGTGAATTGATTTGGCTAAACTTCAATGTAGCAGGACCCTCCTGAAAATGTCTTGAGGCTCACTTGAGTCTTTGAAGGGGAAATAAGTGGCATTGTAAACTTGCGTTGCGGTGTTGTGAAAGCGGCACGAAGACAAGGTGACGATGGCAAAGGGGAGTGGTTGCCCTGAATTCACAATGGCTGTGGGTGCGGATAGCATGACTCATGCCACGTGGATGAGCGTCAGGCCTATTGTTTTGAGTTATATTTGTGTGTTTGGTTATATTTGAGCCAGGGCGTGGTGGTGAGCGTCTGGCAAGGGTTCGTGGATCACATAGAGATCTGTGAAAAACACCCAAACTCTCTTGGTTGCGAGGTGACCAGGAGATGGCAGAAGTGGTTTTGTGAGCCTGCCCGTGCAGAATGTTGACCACGAGACACTAGAATATATATATATGCATGCATGGCTTTTCACCGTATTCCCAGGTTTTCTCCCGCACTAAGCAAAACATTCCTTCAAAAGGTATTGCCCGAACATTCCAATGCCGGACACTCCTGAAAAATAATCTTCAGACTTGGTGAAGCTTTCCTGGATAAATAAAGGACGTCGTTATTATTTAGAAGAGGAATTCGCCTAAACATTCCAGTGCGGGACTCATGATTCTAAGGAATTTTCAAGATTTTTGTGGAAATTCCTAAGGCTCAAAAGGGCCAAACCAACGCGCATCCTGGACATTGTCAATGACACGGAACAATATATGTATAATAACAGCCCGTTTTTTATCCACTGCTGGATGAGGGCCTCCCCATGCCAACCAGATGGAGTTGTCAGACCGTACTTGACCACACAAGTCATTGCGGGTTGGCGAAGGCAGAGATCATAGGTTTTGGAAGATAGAAGTACAGTTCAACAATGCATTTTTCTGCCCTGCCCTCGGCTTACAATAGACAAAGGGATTTAAGTTGCTTTGGAGGGTGGACGCTTACTGCATCTGTCACTGGAGACCACAATTGAGGAAGAGAAACATTTTGCGTTGGTGAATCATTATTTGGGTTGTTGAACCACGCATTGAGACTGCTGAGACCCTGCAGGGCTGTGAGGAGACCAGGATGCATCAGTACCCTACAAGCAATGAATTCCAGACTTGTGAGCTTCTGTATATGCACGCAGTTTGCATAGTTCGGTAACCAGCTCAATTCCCTCCAGGAAAAAAAGTATTGAGACTCAGTGAGGCTTCTCTGGATGATGATGATGATAGGCCATCTATTGATTCCCCTGACCAGGGAACGAAAGGGGTGGACTTAGTTTCCCCAGTCTCGTATTCAGCTGCCACGTGATGGCTGACGGAAGAGAAGAAAGAGGTTATTGTTATTATTTCATTTTAGTTTTTTTTTTAGGGAGCGCCTAATGCGGCTGAGCCTTTTGACTGCCGTGACACTTTTCTTGGTCATCGTGCGGTTAGGTCGCTGCCAAGCACATCACGGCGCATTTATTCATCGATTAAAAACGATCCTTGCGGTGGCAATAGACACACGGAGTCATGCGCGTGACATACAGTGGGCTAAAGAAGTGAATTATTTTGTCCTTTGAAAAACGTGACACATTTTTTACTGTTTGGCCGTGTCGGGTGGTGGAGGGTTACGACACATTTATAAATAACACGATCTGACCCAAAAACCTATATTATGAATAATATTGTTCGCGAAAGCCTACGTGTTAAATATAGTAGATCTGCCAGTGTTATATTTACAGTGAGGGAGCAAACAAAACCTGTAGAAACAAGGCGAGAAACTTGACTTAAAGCTTTCGTGACTGCAGGAATTCATATTCTTGGGTCTTTCGGTAAAGTCACGTAGATAGGTTAAAAGTAAATAACAAAAAACTACGACGTTTCGATCACAACACAAGCGATCGTCATCAGGATTGCTTGTGTTGCGATCGAAACGTCGTAGCTTTTTGTTATTTTTATTATTTTCTTTGAACCTATCTACGTGACTTTACCGAAAGACCCAAGAATAAGGCGAGAAACAATACAGCAGAAACTAAACAAACACAACAATTAAGAAAGCGGAGAAACGATACAAAACTGCCAGCCAAAAACAAGACAAAATAAGAATTGTTTCTTGTATCGAATCATAACTGTTGATTCGTGACCATTCATGGATTCGCGGAGGGAGGGAAGTGGGCGGTATGAGGGTAGTGAATTGTTACATCAAGATGCTCTGCTGTTCCGTGGACACAGACAGAAGGTGGGGGCAGTGACAGTCAGGGTGTCTTGCTGGGAAGGAGAAGGAAGAAAGGAAGGAGGAGGAGTGGGAGAACCTCCGGGTGCACCTGCAAGCAGGAGAAACGGTGTGGGGGGTGGGCTCGGTGGGACGCTCACTGGAGCAAGAAGCCCCAACAATGTTGGAAATGTAAACAGCCGTCACGTGGCCCCTTCCCAAATTACAGCAGACCGAGTCGATCTTAAGGGAGCGTGCGAGCTAGCTGCGGACTGCGAAAAGTCGTGCGTTAAGTGAAGACACAATCCAACGCTTGCAGCAAACTAAGGGGGAAGTCCGGTGAAAATATTGTGGGTTCCCCTACCCAACCCCGACATGCAACCCTCTTCTGTGGTGCATGCCTATTTGTGGTATTTTTTTTAAATGGGGCTCACTTCCCATGCCAGGCCATTGTTAAATTGTAGAGTGGATGAGCATCACTTTGACGGAGAAGCCGACTTGGCTGAACTATCCGCTCAAGAATAATGTTTTATCGTAATACCTATCAGAAGCTTTCAAATGACGCCGTATTCGTCGAGCGGTCTAGGAAGAGTTCTGCTGACATCCAAACATACAGATTAGATGCTTATCATGGGTGTATATATCTTGTAGGCTTGTTACAATTCAGGGGCCAGGTTAGATTTAAGCATTGATTCCCTTTCGCGTCTCTTTTTTACTCGGGCATGTAACATTTGGTTAAATTATTGTCTTGTGTTTACCATATCGTATGTCAGCAGACCATGCCATGGTGGCATGCTTTCTCATTAATTTTTTAAAGTGTTTTTTTCTTTCCCCCCCTCCCTTCTCTTTAATGAAGCTTCAAACTGATGTCAGGCAGACCTTGCACATGCCACCTGTGGGAAATTATTTACAAAATAAAAACTGTTTATTTTTTACTGACTGACTCTGTTAAATAAACATGCCCACTGCTTTTCGTTCAGCGTTTGAGATGAGGGCGCATTTAAACTCAACATAATGGGCATTACTAAATCGTATTGAGTTAATAAACTTTCAATCAAATACCTTTATTTTTAACCGGGTGAGAGCCCATTCATAAGACAATTGTCTCTGTGTGCAAACCCTCTTAGGGGAATTGGCCAAACTCCCCAATGCAGGAGTCTATCTGCAAAAGAGCCTTGAGATTTATTAACAGTTCTCCGGTTAAATAAATAACACTTTTGGTTTTGCAAATGAGTTTGCATGAAAAAAAACGGGAAAAATAACATCCAGGTGTGAGAAAACCCCAATAAAAATATTGAAATGTCCTGCTGAGAAAAATAATGTAAGCTTATTTACTTGAAATAGTAGTTTAAGGAAGTCGTAATAACTTTCAAAACATCATTATTCCACCGTATTTTGTCACAAATTATAATAATAATAATAAATTGCAACACGTTAATTACTAATGAAGGCCTCCCTGAGTCTCAAGACTCTTTTCAGGAGGATTCTGCATTGCGGTGTTTGGCCAATGCTATTAATGACTGTAGTTTGGGGGAGAAAACTGTTGTTCCTGG